TTAATCAAATAGATTTTAATCTCTAAATTTTACTGCTTAAATTCGTGCCATTTTTGTTTATTTTGTATCAATTCTTGAGGTTAAAGCATTTCTTTCTTCTGTAAAAAAATAACCATTTTTAATTTAGAATTTCAAACTTTGATTTGAAAACCGCGAGATCCGAAAATTCCATACAAATTGCCCTCTCTCTCAGCGTCTGGGTCCCCGTTTCTTGCACACTCTCTAGCTAGACGCGCTCAAAATGTTCGTGCCTTTTTTGCGGGTGTCAGGGGGTTGGAAAATTGTCCCGATGCGGGGGTCGATGCTCTCAAAATGGGGACTCACTCCACTCAACGGTCAGCTGCTCTATGTACTAACTGGTACTGCGAGGCCATTTCTGGCAGCCGACATCATTTTTGATTGATTTTAAGGCGTAAAAGGCCTAGCTTATTTTATTTGAAAATGGCCCGAAAGTGTAACTAATAAACTTTTAAGAATCTCCAAAAAGCTTTGATTTTATCGTGTCATTGGACCATTTTATAGTGTGATTTTAAGACCAGATTTGTTTACTGCCAAGCCGCTAATCCACCCACCCAGCCGGCCCTTCATCTAGTTGCTCCCTAAAATGTGCTCGCCTCGTCGGGTGACCCCTTGACCCCACAAATGTGGGTACGGGGCCCATTGTTATAACCGCCCATCCACTACCACCCGGGCCCCATATGGAGTAGCGCTTCCGCTTTTTGGGCTTGTAGGTCTCTCTCAGTCTCTCTCTCTCTCTCCCTCTCTCTCACTCTCTGTCCCTCCATCTTTCTTTCTCTCTGTCTATCGCTCACTCACTCACACTCTCTCACTCTCTCTCTCTCAATCTCTCACTTGCTCTCGCTGTCTCGGTATTTCGTATTTAAATTGATTATGCATGAAATTGCTGCTACTACGTATTTTTGAGACTCTAGGTCTCTCTCCTTCAGGTTCTGTCCCTCTCGCTCTCTGGCTTTCTAGCTTTCTCTTTTTCCCTCCATCACTACCCACCGACTTAAATTATTTCTGGAGGAAGTTAAAACAACCCATTTTTCCGAATTTCACGTTGTCTACGTTAGAATCCGTACTTCCGGTCACTGCGGAACTTACCTGCTTTCCGCCACTACCTGGTAGCTGACCATCGATTCATGTTATTTGATCGTATTTGCCGGTTGCTACCTGCACACAACTAGGTGAAAGAGGAGTGCGGCTAGTTGTGTTGCTGGGGCTCAAATTTATTTACCCAAGCCGCCTCGCCTACCGCGTTCCCGGGCTCACACATTTCGCGGACAGCTGTGGCTAATATGAGGGCTGGCTGCTGAATTTGAGTTTTTAACGAGTTTCGGTCAACTTTAATTTTTTTACGCTATCGAATTTTAGAGGATCATGAGTTTCCGGAAGCCTTACTGGCTTTTTCATATTTTTTACACAGCTTTTCGGCGAGTACAAGCTGCTATTTTCCAACCCAACTCCTTGCCAAAACTTGCTACATCTAGAGGACAGCTCCGTTAACCCCTAAGCCCCTTATTTAGCAATTCATGGCCTACCATCTTCTTCTCCTTGTCCTTATTTTCATTCTGCCGCTCCACACCGAACTCAACGATTCATGGCTTTCTTGTGTCCACATAGTGTTCCCACCGCACAACCCGAAGCCTGGGGCTTGGTCAGACTTGACATATTTTGGCGCTTCTAAAAACGCGGCTATAAAATTGTACATCGGAAATTGAGGAAAATCGCGTGAAACCGGCGAAAATGGGTGAGTTACTACCCTTAAATTTTTCGAATCTCGAAAATGGCTCTTCGGAAAGTTCGCACGGAGCATTTACGATGCCGATGTGATTGGGGTGGCTTTTCCGATCCCTTTAAATTTTAGATATTGTTTTTTAATGGATTCACTACCAAATTAACCGCGGCATCAACACGCGACGCGCGCGCTATCGTTTCGTTATTTAGTGGGATATGGGAGTGGGATATGGGAGTGGGAGGTTCACCTGGTTATACTTTATTAATCTTCTTCCTTTTAACTCTTTAAGAGTTATTTAATCATTCTTATACTTTCGATTACTACACTTTCAAATCCTCCAGGAAGCGTGCACGTTGCGTGTCGCGGCGCTCAGCGGATCGGATCCGTACCTGATGCAAGACCATAAAAATCATTGACCCTACGTCGGTCTCTTGTAAAGAATTTTTGCATACTTTTAAATGGGTTAAAAAGGCGCATTTGACATTCATTCGAGCTCAATTAGCAGACATTTTTAAAGCCCACGCTTCTTAAGTCATATTCCCTTTAAAACCGTCCAAACCCTGGGTGCAGGAACTGACGGCCAACCTGTCTTTTTTCCACAGCTGTCTGTTATTGCTGGCCAGAGTTAGTGCGCCGTCTCAAATTTAACACGGCTCGGATTTCACCGGGTAGTTTCGCTGCCTCCTCGCTCCTTCATTCATCAAAGTTATTGGAGAGGATTCCCGATTCCCTGAGCTTTGACCTCCTGCTCAGCCATTTTTCGGACCAGTAAAGTCGATGTTTAATTTTTCGAACTTATCTGTCATTCTCTCTGTCTGTCTCTCTCCTTCTCATTATCTCCCGCTTGTGAGATCATAGCTCCAAGCTTTTGAAACTTTTTGGTCATGACGTAACGTAACGAATTCCCTAGGATTTCGACCCGGCTTTGGAGTATCGTATGAGAGAGCGAGAGAGATAGAGAGAGAGTGAGAGGGAGAGGGAGAGAGAGCCAGATCCAAAGCTGGTAATTGCATTCGGAGGCCACAAACACGCAGCATCGGCAGTCTTGAGAGGGAGGACCAGGCTGGAGGAAGAATTCCGGGGCGACAGAATGAAAGAGTAGCCGCTGATGGCGGGGTCAGACCCAGAAAGTCACAAGTTTTTGGAGCTAGGACTTCATTCTCTCCACGCTCTCTCTCTCTCGCTCTCTCCTACTCGCTCTCTCTCCCTGTGTCTCTAATCTTGAAAGCTAAAATAAGTTGTAAACATGCATTTATCTAAAAAGAGCTAAAAATGCAAGGCATTTGTGGCAAATTCGCGTTTTTTAAAAATTTTTGGAATTTCGCCAAGAAGCAACCATCTATTTCATCTCAAGCTAAATAATAGCAGCACCTAACTACCCAATCCCAAATCCACCAGAAGCCCATTGTCGGTCCCTTTAAAGGCCTCGTGAAGGCATCAAAGCCAGCGGAATCGGGATGGGGTGTCGTATTCCCTTTAGTGGGCACCCATCCGGGCCCTTCCCCCCCTTTTGGGTCCTATTGATCCCCCTCCTCCCTTCTGGCCACCACACGGCCATCGACTTCCACCCCTCAGAGGGCCCTCTTCCTCTCTTGCTCCTCTTTTCCAAGGAATTCCGTTTCGATACTCTGCTCCCTCCGGGGCTTGTGCATTCACACCATTTCCTCAGAAAGGAGGGGATGCTCCTAGCTCTCTCTCTCACTCTCTCTCTCTCTCTCTCTCTCTCTCTCTCTCTCTCTCTTTCTCTCTCCCCTCTTTTGGCCATCGACCCCTATTGTCTCACGCTAAAGCCGCAAATGCCCCACTTCCAAGGCCCCCTAACACCCATGTTTGGGACATCCTTCAAGTTGTTCCCGTCACTTTTTTCGAGGGCTTTCGGGTTTTTAAGCTTTCGAAACTGGTTTCGAAACAGGTTTGATACCCTATTTTCCGTAATCTACCCCTCATTTTGTATCAAAATTACAATTAAGGGTCGTAAGATGCAAAAAATCTGCTAAAAATCGTTGTCATGCCAAAGGCAAAGGCCGAAAAAGGCAGTATGAGGGAGTTTAAAGGACAAAAACGCCTCAAAATTTCAGGTTAAAACCCTAAATCTTAAATCAGCGATTCTCTTAGGCCAAAATAAAGCACCGCTACGCTCCAGGAAACGCCGAAACGTAACGTCGATATTATTATATAGAATTTTCAATACTTCTGCCTGGTGCTATTTTTAAAAACAAAGATAACATTCTTTTTCATCCTATTCCTTGTCCTTTTTCACTTCCATGTCTCCCCCCCCCCCCTCCTAGGGAAGAACCCTCCGCATGTTTTTCGCGTGTGGCTCAAATTTCAGCTAGGGGGGGGCGGGGGCACAAGACAAAAGTCGCTTCCAGCGTCATCCCAGTCTTGTTTTAAATTAGTTTTTGAGAAAAGTAAGGTCTGGCAGTATTTTCGTCTTGGAAGAGCCTTAGTAAATAACCGTTATTTTTGTGCATTAATGGAAAATCGGCCGTTGCTTTGAATTTATATTCGGCCGGAGTGCTCTTGACTACTTTTAATATTTGTACAGATTCGAAATTTCAAGAATTCTAAATTTATTAACTGACTGCAATTAATTAGCCAAGTTAACGGGTTCATGGACCTGATATCTTCTTTAGACCAGGAAGTATTTGCCGTCGTTAGCGAATTTTCCAGAAAAAAAAACGCAAAAATGCCGACAGTAGACTTACCGAAAGCCGACGGCAAAATCCGAAAATCCCAAATTTCAGACGGCGTGAGTACGGCAGTTTTCGGTGGTCGGGATTTTGAACCTTCGGGATTTTCGCTGTCGGGATTTCGGCCTATCCATTTTTCGTAGTCGGTATTATGGCTGGAACATGGATTTTCCACGACTTATGCTCATACTGCTTTTCTATGGAACATTGACGCAGTAAGCAATCTCAAAAATATTCTAATTTTGTAATGTTTCTAAATTTCCGCAAAAACGTCTGCAACGTCGCCCTCGTAACACGAATTGCTACCTTTTCTCCGGATATGGATGGCCATTCCGGGGGGTCCTCAATCATCCCCTCTACCCCCTTATTTACACAGCCCCCACCTCGTTGGATATGAACGGCCTGTCTCGAGAATCGTTTTTATTTCTATTTCCCGAAAAAAATAACGCAGCTCGAATGTTCAGCGTCCGCATGGGCTGATGCGTTGCTCGGCCGTCGTTTGGGAGCAGTACGGCTACGCTCGTGAAAAGCTACAGAACCAGCTTGCGCACAAGATACGCTCACAGATGGCCGCACTGGTAAGGAATTTTTTATGGTTATGGAGCTTTAAAGGTCTGAAATTTTTTATACCAAAAATTGTTAGTTTTAACGAGCTTGTGAAGCCAAATCTTTGCGATATTTGATTTTTGACAAATAAATCCTCCGACAAAATGCAGATTTTGGGATCCTTAGCTGTTTTTAGGAATTTTTTCTTTCCTAATAATCTAAAATAGCTATTTTTTAAAATCTAAAGTATTTTCGAGTTGCTAATTTGTCTGAAATCTCAAGAAAATCTTGTAAAACTCTGAAACGTTTGTTTTTGCTTAGAAACTAAGATTCTGAGTTTAGTTGGTACGCTGTATCTTAATTATCCTTATTTTTTCCATAGCTAAAACGTCGCGTTCAAGTAAATTTTTTATAAATAAGATTGAGCCCGTAATAGCATGCCAGTTCGTGTCAAAAGTCCAAGTGGTTTTCGCAGAATACCTGAAGTCTTTGAAGTGAAATCTAATCAAGCAAATATAAGCATTTAAATGTCCGTATTTTTAGGTAGGAAACATGGATTCCGCGGATTTGCTCCTTGTGGCGGCTGACGGGAAAAAGTTGCCGGCTCATGAGTGTATTCTACGAGCCCGAGCTCCCGGATTTTATCAGCGCCACATCGAGCCTACGGTCGTAGCGATGGGACCGGCGGTTGGAGGGAAGATTAGAGAGGTAATTGAGCTCATGAGACTATCCTTTTACTATGCGGTTTCTGCTAGCTTGCGTAACATTAAAGGGACGGGCAAGGCTTCACCACGAATTTTGGCTTGGCTGGGCTGGCTTAAATATATTCGCGACACTCAACACCCTCCGCTCATATCGTAAACTAGTTGTCGCCTCGGAATTGTATTTTTTCGTGCATTTTTTTTGCAAGATAATAGGTATCAGAGTGGGCGCGTCGCGTGTCGCGGTCTTGGCCAGATTCATAGCAATCGGTGTACCATTCCGAGTCCGAAACCCGCGACACGCCACGCGTACGCGGCCCACTATCGCCCCAACGGCGCGGTTGGCCAGTCAAGGCGTTGCGTGTCGCGACCTCGAATAAATCCATAAAAATTCCAAAGAAAATCTGAGAAGAATTAGAGAAGAAAAAAAAGCCACGATAGCGAAGTTTAACTTCTTTTTATAACATTTTCACGACCCAATTTTCCCTGTCCAGGTAGCAGTTGGTGACATCGACTCGTCGGGGCTGGAGTTCTTCATCCATTCTGTGTACACAGAAGACGAGATCGCCCAGTTTCCGCCCGACGTCGGGGAAACGGTCGACGAGGAACCCAGTGAGTCAAAAATTATAGTATAGCACGGCCCCATTAATGATCGCCAAAAAAGAGTCAAATACTCGGAGGATAAGAAGATGATCGGAACGGGATGCTTTCCCCGCTTGTATATTCGGCATTAATGCAACCCTACTAAAAAATCCTACAAAAACAGTGTGCACAGATTGCCGTAAGCACCGGCTGTTGCCAATGCCGAATGTGCCACGGATATTGGTATGGGGTAAGTTTCGAACAGAGGGCACAAACCTGGCAATGAAAAATCATCGAATTCCGCTCCCCACCCACCCACCGTCCATTTATCCAGGGCTTCCTATTGGTTCCTAAGTTCAAATCTATCGAATTGACCAGCATGAGGGTCTTGAAAATCTCGAGAAAAATTGGATTCCACTTTTTTTCAGGAGATTCCGACTCTCGAAACTCCAACACCTCCTTCAACATGGACGCGTCGACGGATTTGGAGGATTTTAAGGCGCAGGTGAGGATGGATTACAGAATTTTGGAGGTTTTCGGGTTTTAAAGGGAGTGGGATGGCAAGAAAAACGGTTAAAAAGCGCGAAGAAAATTTTATTGGTTGGAAATATGCTAATCCTTGCCATCATGTCCCTTCTGTCTTTTAAAGGGCCGGGCAAGGCAAGACTCTCAGTATATTAGTGAGCATAAGCCCCCTGAGGCCGGCTCTTAAATTTATGTTATTAATGCCAACCAGGGTTGAAAAGCCGCTTCGCGACTTTTCAACCCTGGCCCCGCGTCTGATCGCATGATGTACCTCACTTTGCATAATTCTTGGATTTCCGATGACAAAAAGAAAACCGCGCTCGCTAGCCCATTATATAGGCTACCGGAACTTCCGGCGCATGCTAATTTTTTCCTAACAAAGAGGATCGCCGATTTTCCAACAAAAACTTAATTTTAATGTCGAAAATAGGCAATTTTGATAAATCTGTTCTGCGTGCAGTCATCTCAGGGCCATTACGCACCTAATGACGTATCGTATGTAGCCTAATACCCTTCCCCTCTTGAGATATCCTCCGGACAGAATGACGGAAGTTGCATGCAAAGTGGCACAGACACACACACACACAAACACTATTTTTTTATATATAGTAGGATTTGATCCGCCTAAACAAACAGTCCCAATCATGTTTTTTTTCTCAGGATCGAGAAGAGCACATCCTCCCGAAAGGCGACGTTGCTCAACCACATTCCTCACAGCAGCATAATCAGCATCAGCAGTTTACGGTAGTTCAGTGATTTTTCCAAGAATTTGCATTTCAGCAAATCCCGATGATGACCTCGTTCCGAGACATTGCCTCGCATTCCCCGATGAATTCATCGTTGTACTCGATCGGCGGGAGATCAGATGTGAGTCGGTGGAGAGAAAGAGAAGGAGAGATAGAGAGGACGAGAGAAAGGCAGAGAAGGCCAGAGAAACAACTAGGGAACTGTGTGCGAGAGAGAGAGAGAGAGAGAGCAATCGAGACAGATAAAGAAAACGAGAGATGACCAGGGAGACAAACATTTGAGTTTCAGGTCGGTCCGGACATACCGGAAGAAGACGAAGATGGTACTTGCATACCTGCTAGGCGGAAAAGTTCGAGACAAGAAAGTAAGCCATTTACAGTTATTGAAATCCAGTTTAATATACTTCACATAAAATCAGAATTATCTGGATTTTAGCTACGATGGGAAAATTCATCCGCTTGGATTCTGCGGATGATGGCGAGAGGACCGAGACCGAGTCAAGAAGGCGTAGTAATATTCATAAGGTGTGGTATTTGAAGCATACTTCGTAGCCGAAACTTTTTTTTTTGGTTTTTTTTTGTTGCTGTCGATATCCCTTTAAAAGCTCATCAAACCTCATTTCAGCCGATGTTCTCCATGTTCATCGGGCTCGACGAGTCAACTTCTCCCGGAGAGCGTATGATGTATGGAGGCGTACCCGAAGGAGTTCGAGGAAGAGCCATGATAGCAAAAGACTGTCTGTTGCTTCTCTCTCGTCATTAACCAGCATCGACATGACGCCGAATCTTGATGGTGGGTTTTTAACGTCAAGGAAATCTAGTTGGGCTATCGTATCATACCTACCGTACCTTTAACTACGGTATTTTTTTAGGTAATGCGCCTATTGCGGATCGTACTCCTTCATGCAAATTAGCCTCCGATTTGCTGGAGATGTACATCGACAATAAGGACTCGGATGTGGTGATAAAATGCGACAACGGGGAGCTTTTTGCGCATAGGTCCGTCGCTCTCACGCTCTCTCTCTCTCTCTCTCTCTCTCCTCCCTCTCTCTGTCTCATCTCATCCATTTTTAGATGCATCCTCTCCGCCACGTGCCCCTTCTTCCGCCAACAACTCCAGAAAACCCGACGTATCGAGCTGAAGGGCTACAACAAGTCCTCCGTCCACTTTTTGCTCTGTTTCCTCTACGGTGGGCTGACGGCGATTCCGGATGAGGTCGACACATGGGAGGTGAGCATTATAGAGTGAGCACCATGTTTTTAAGAGATGACGACAGGAGATTTTATCCTGTTTTATAGGTCCTCGCCCTGGCAACACATCTGAATCTGAAAGATCTCATCGAAGTTGTGAGCTTACATCTGAAAGCTACGAAATGTCACTGGTTCCATAGGGTAAGAGAGAGAGAGCGCGAGAGAGAGAGGGAGAGAGAGAGAGAGAGTGGTGGAATCGTTTTCGAATATTTTTTAGCCATGCGCCGTCTGCGTCTCTGCCGTTTTTGACGCTCTCCCACAATTCTATTCCATTAGATGCCTAAAGCCACTTTATGAAGAGGTATTTGTCAAGATACGTAGGCTTACTAATAACGCTTTTTAGGCAATCCAATGGCAAGCCAAGTATTTTGCCCGAATCTGGAAAGGACGTGTCTTTATGCATTTGAATGAGAGGTGGCTGAAGGAATGCTTCGAAGGAGTTATACAGCAATTGGTAAGTGAGCGAGAGAGTGCGCGAAAGAGAGAGAGAAATGAGAACGAAAACTAATCTCTTCCAGGACGACGAGACGCTCATCGAGACGATCCTCGGCTGTGAACGGCTCCAAGTCGCCTTCTCGAGGTCCCGCAGCGAAGCGGCTTTTACCGTTCTGAACATGGTCAACGATATTCTGGACGTGGGAATGCAATACCTGATCCACTCTTTCCATTTGGTCATCACCAGCAAGAGTTTTGCAGCCCAAGGAAAGGTAAGTAGGGCAGTTTACGTCTAGCGGTCCGTTTAAGTAAGAACGCCTTAAATTTCGCCCATAATACCGTGGTTTTTCAGGGTCTCGCCCTAAACCTGGGAATCCTCGAAGACATCCTCCCCACCCTGGTCCACAGCTTGTCCGCCGACGTCGCCATCAAGTCATACCTGGGACTAGCTGACCTGCTGACCGAGATTCAAAGCGTCCCACCATCTCCAAAGAAGACGCTGTCGATTCCGATCGATGAGTGGAGCCCGGTAGGCAAAAAATGCGGTAAATTAGTGCTTCCTGTATTTTATAGAGGTTCTACGTTCTCGTCCGTCGGCTCTACGAACTTGTTGATAAGCACCTGCTGCACTACGCCGCTTCGGTGGTCCGGGCGGAAGCTTGGAATTTGTTGAATGAAAGGGATCAAGTGCGGATAAGGGAGAGTGGGTTTTTTGAATTCATAAAACAATACAATTTCTATGCTCTCTCGCTCTCTCTCTCTCTCACTCTCTCTCTCTCGGACACACAAGCGGCCACTCTGTCTTCACTCTCTCGCCCAATGTTTTCTCTCGCTCTCGCTCCCTCGCTTCTTCTAGCTCACTCTCTCTCACCATACACTCTCTATATCTCTAGAACTCTTTCGAATCTGGCTTTCACCCTCTCTATCTCACTCTATCACTCTCGCCCTTCGTTCTCTCTCTCCCTGGCTCGCTCGCTCGCTCGCTCTCTCTCTCTCTCTCTCTCTCTCTCTCTCTCTCTCTCTCTTTCTAAATACTTTTTCCAGCCGGCATCTTCGTCGAAATGCGCCAACCAAAAGCCTCCATGCCGCGCTTCAGCAGCAACAATCGGGTACATAATTTTATTTTTTTTAGTTCTGCCTTTTGGCTTACTGTGTGCCTGCCGCGATCCGTGGCTTCCTCGGGTTACTTTTCTTTTTCTCCCCCTTGCTGAATCCCTAATTTTCTACTTCTACATTTCTGCTAACCAACTCCATTTCAAGTGCCTTTTCTTTAGAAGAGCGCTCCCGAAAATACGGAAAATCCGCAGGTTACTTATTAAGATTGTAGCTGCTATATGAATATTTTCCCTTGAATTTTTTATACGTAGAACCTGGAGGTGTAAGGAGGTGCCTAGCGGAATTTTTTGGTCATAACAATCAAATCAGCATTTTCCGTAGCGAAAAACGGTAATTCGAATTTTTATAGAGAAAAAAATTCCTGAAAATCTAATTTTTGCAGCTGAAAATTCCGCTACACTCCTTCTCACTTCCAGATGTGTGTAAAAATATACCTAGCGCTTGCCTGTAAATCCAAAATTTTTTCACTAATTTCTCCTTGAGCTCGAGTGTGCTTAAAATAGAGCATGAAGCGCAGCAAAAAAATACCCATAGAGCATGCTCTGTCCCAAATGGCTGCAAAATAATATTTTACCCATTGATAGTATCGCTTTTGGTCCGTGGAAAATTCTATACTTTAGGCATACAAACGCAGTGCATCGGCTGGAGTGCAAATGGGCCATCTTTACACTCCCGAAAGGGGAAGGAGTTTGGAGCGGCACAAGCCGCTGACGATGATACAACAAAAGGCTCGTGATCCCGAGTCAGAGCCGATTGTGGATGAGAAGGTGGGGTAGAGGAAGACTACGGTTAAGGCAGGCTAGCAGAGATTCTGGTGTAGTACATTAAACGAGAGAGAACGAGAGATAGAAAGAGAGAGAGAGTGAGAGCGAGAGAGAGAGAGAGAGAGAGAGAGAGAGAGAGAGAGAGAAGGAGAGAGAACGAAAGGCGAGAGTGATAGAGTGAGATAGAGAGAGTGAAAGCCATATGGCGAGAGAGTGATAGAGCCATAGAGAGTGTAGAGTGAGAGAGCGAGAGTGAGCGTGAGATAGAGAGATCAATATGCCGAGACAGAGAGAGAGCGAGAGAGCGAGAGAGATAGAGGGAAAGCGTGAGATGGAGCGCGATACACGTATCGGGACCGGCAGAGAGAAAAAAGAGAGAGAGAAAGCGAGCGAAAAATAGGGAAAGAGAAAGAGAGGGATAGAGAGGAGTAAAAGAGCGCACAAGAAGGAGTGAGAGCGAGATAGTGAAGGCTGTAGAGATTGCTACGGTTTGCTGAGCTTGAGGTTTTGAATAGATCGTAGCAGAGGACAAGAACAACCAAACAAAATCGAAAATTAATTTTCAGGAAGTCTTCGAAGAACCGAAACCAAGCACCAGCGCCGTAAAATCACCAAAGACGGGCCAAGAAAACAAAACGACTCAATCGGCCGAGGCCAAGAAGCAGAGCCCCAGGCAGCAGAGCCCCAGGAAGCCGCAGAGGCAGCCAACGCCTACGAAGGTAAAAAAACTTTATTGTACCTAACAATAACTAACTGGTTTCAGGAAGAAAAGCCGCCTCAACCGGCAGAATCCGGAATTCCCAGACCGCGATCAAGCCGGAATTCATCCAGAGCAACTTCAAGAGAATCTACCCCAAGAACTGTGAAAGAAGTAACACCAAGAACACCAAGACCGGAAGCGAAAACTGAAGCCAAAGCTGAAGCTCATGTCGAAAAACCCAAGCCAAAACAGCCAGATGCGGAAGTTAAGAAGCCAGCACCTCCAAAACCCGTCGAAATCGCTCCAGAACCCGAACCCAGCACCTCGAAGGGCCCGGAAGTCGAAGCCATTGAAGCCAAGCCCGAAAGGGTCGAGAAGAAAGGAGCTGCAGCTGCTCAAACTTCTCAGAAACCGGCTACGAAATCAAAATCGCCGACAAAAGAAGCGGATCCAGGATCTCGAAGAGGTTGGCCGGAAAAAATTGCACGGATTTGTGGGGCGGGTGAAGAAGTTGTTTGGGAAGAATTGATTAGTGCATGCTGAAAATGGAAACTCTAAATTCGAGCTCAAGCTCAAGCTCAAAAATCGCTCAAAATGTTCAAAATTGCTGAACTCAATCAGTTACGCTATCAAAAACAAATCAAACTTGCCGAAAAAGGTAGGGAAATTGTTTTTTTTCCAAAATGGAGTTCAAGGTCAAGTTTGTGAAAATAGTTTGATCCAAGCGATTACACCATGAAAAACTGACTAAATGATGCCAAAAAATCCCATAATAATATTTCTGTTTGCTAAATTTGTCAAAGATACTTCATTTAATCGATTAAGCAATGGAAATGGAGCTAAATCGTACCAAAAGGTAACAAAATATTAAAAAATCCGTGAATTGTTCGTATTTAGAAAAAGTTGCCATTTCTTGTACTAATTCCTCAATTTTTAGCACAAAATGGAACGCCAAAACACGCACACGATAATCCACAACGATCCGTCGAGGACAGGTACGCAAAAAATTCGCACACTGTAATTAAAGCGCATTTTAGCAAACCTACCTGGCCCATCACCGCTGAAGGACAACGGCGAAAAGCCAAAAAGCGTGGTGAAGCCGATGCCCAAGGCCGATCCACCATTGGCTGGGACTTCGAGGGTAACTACTGTGCCGAAACGGACACCAACCATTGCTGCGGCTCCGGCTAAAAGTAGTGTTACTACCGCGCCAAGTTCGACAAGAACTGGGATACCACAGCCGAAACCATCGGGGAGGGTGATAACTGCTTCGACGCCTCAACGACAGGGTCCTGCGCCGATCAAGGTAAGGCTTACTGTCCGTGCACCTTTAAAGAGACAGAGAGAGGGAGAAAGAGCGAGAGAGAGAGAGAGAGAGCGAGAGTGAGAGAGACAGAGAGAGGGAGAGAGTGCAAGAAAGAGAAATAAAGAAGTCGAGAGAAGGAGCGAGCAACAGCGAGATGGAGAGTCAGCGAGAGAGGAGAGGCGGATAGCCAGAGCGAGACCGGGAAATACCGAGGGTACTATAGCGAAATATGAAGCTCTCACACGCCCTTTAAACCGTCCATTTCCAGACCACTGCATCCGCCGAGGCCAAGAAGCGTGCTGATGCGTCGCCACGAGCCCGAAGCCCCAGAATCCGGACACGAACTGCTAACCCAAATAACATTGAAAAATAGCAAAATTTACCCCCTACCCAAAAAAAGTCAATTTTTAGGGTAACTATGATTCGGTTTTTCCCTGTGCTTCGACTCTCAAATTCACGAGCTTGAATTACAACCGATAGATCTCAAAATTGTACAAATATATGCAAATTTTCTTGGGTTCCATTACAGTACACTGTCCACTTTTTTGTCTGTTTTACGAGCCGAAAAACCTTGTGCGCTTCCTTCTATTGCTGGGTATAATTACCAAAAAATGTATGCTTTATTTCTTTCGTCTATCCCAAATACATATAAGGATTACACACAAACACACGAGATGGATGAGGGTCGATATGGCAATTGTCGATATATTACCGCATTAATGGAGGACGAGAGGAGTTGAGGATGAGAATTAGGCGTATGGGCATGGCTCGTCGTCGCCGTGCTTCTGAAAAACTTAGTTAAAATTTGAGGGGTTGGTATTCGTTTCTAAAGAATCTCTGCAAGATTGCCAAGAGAGATAGAAGAAAGAGCGAGAGAGATAGGGGGCGAGAGAGAGAGAGAGATAGAGACAGCCAACGGCATGCTCACCTTGACACATTCATAGGCCTGTAGCTTCTTGTGCGAATCCCATTGTGACATCCCGCTGGACTCGACGACTCCTGAAAATTTTGCATTCACGATTCCTTTAAAAATGTGTAGCGTTCCAAATTAGGATTAACGTGTTATCATCAATTCTTACCTGCCAATGAACACGGAATCTTTTCCCGATTCACAAAATGGTGTAGAAGACCTCTGGCCTTCTTCAACACCACTCGAGCATCCATGTGGTTGGCTAGGGAGGAGAAGTAGAGCAAGATCTCGTCGTGCGGGAGTTTTTGCGAGATGATGTCGGGCCCTGAAGGTCAAATTAAGGATAAATCGATGAATGTTGTTGTTGCTTCGACTATCGAAGCCCGAGACAGAGAGACAGTGAGAGAGAAAGCGAGAGAGAGAGAGAAAGAGAGAGGTGGAGAGAGAGAGGTAAAAGAGAGAGCGCGTAGATACGTCAAATTTTAGATAATGACTTACCGTAAATGGATACAATCGCGACACAAACGAACAGATGAAAGTATTGGGTACGGTATCGGGCCCAACACGCCTCCCAGATGTGAAGCGCATCAGATTCGGCGAATTCTCTCTAAAATCAGATTGCAGAAATTGATGGCGAACCTGTCACGCTCCCTTTAATGCGAGCAAAATGGGTATAAAATACAGCTGTATGCAAAAAGTACGTGGAAACAAATTAGATTAGGACGCAGAATTTGAAATTGGGCCCACACCTTGAAAAATAGCAGAATCCACCGGTGCACAAACATGAACTGCAACGAGTCACCACCGAGCTGCCAGAGGTAACTGAACACCTCAGGGACGAGGAGCTTGATGAGTTCACGAAGGTATTCCTAGACTTCACGTTGCCAGCGATCAAGTCTATTTTTTACCAAATTCTGCTCCATCAGGCTTTCACTCGACTTGCTGAACAACGTCTGTTGCATCAGCCCGACGAAGCACCAGTACACTTCTGATTCATCTCTAAAAACAAATACGCATTTTTAAGAACTGAAAAAGTTATAGCAATAAAACTAATGCTTGATAATAACTATCAATTGGGCTTTAAAAGCTTACTTTAATGTGCTAAGAAGAGGTGCCAGAAGGTCAGACATCCCCTGAATGTATCCAACATCTGGATACATGGCAGCGTAGTTGAGGAGGATATCTCTGCAATTTATGGCTCTATAATTTTTAAAAGGCTTAAAGGATCTAGGCTAGCCTTAAATCCTCCCAGATTTGTTGATACTTCACTTTTTCGAGGGTATCTTAAACTTTTCGGCATTTTTTATATTTATCGCTTTGGTTTGGGGCCATTTTTCCTAGTACGCCTAGTAATTGCCCGGTGTTTGCGATTTAAAATTTTTTATTACCAAATATCCACATTTTTAAAGGCTTGAAAGATTCTCCGCAATCTTACCCCGATTTTCCGAGTTTAGGGTGTGAGGTCTTATGCTAGCTTTTTACGTTCTTTTATAGTTCTCGCCGTCGTTTCGAGTGATGCACTTTCCTTAATGCGCCAAATTACATGACGTGTACGATTAGAGAAAGGCTCATTTCTACATGCCTCATCATGTCCACGTTCGGATTTTCCTCCCCGGCGAAGAATGGATTCTTCCGATCCGTCCTCACGACATCCTTCACTACCGTATTCTCAAGCCCGTCCCAGTGCTTCGAGCTGGCCGCCTTCTTCAGTCTAAAAACAGATAAACTTTTAGAAACAAAAAGTGCCAACCTCTTCATCTTAATATTCTGATATTCCAGGAACAAGTCATTTCTGATGGTTTCCCGCTGCTCCACTGTCGATTCCCATGGGTACACCCGGAGTAGGAAGGGCCAGATTTCCTTTCGCAGATTCGGCTCCATTGAAGCAAAGTAGAGGGCCTTAAATTACAGGAATATTAACGCTTTCGAATCTTTTGGCTCTGGGTTCGTAGACGCGTGCGTACGCGTCTACGGTTTCTCTAAGGCTTGCACTAACGAACTGTAAGCGCGCGACGACCACAGAGTTGTCCTCTCCCTAGCGCTACTACTAACCTTCCGGATCGTCTGACTATCATGAATTGCGCCCTCGGCATTTTTGAACGTCTTCCAGTAATCCCAATGCACCCTCTCAAACAGCCCATCCTCCGGATCGAGCTCGTTCTTCTTTACGGCAGGTTGGCAAATGAGGAGATGACGATCCGGGGCCGGGGAGGGACTGCCCTAGAATGTCGCTAGAACACCGGAATTGGAAGAACATTTTTTGTATTTTAAAGGGACGAGCAAGGCACGACTATGAGAGATGGAGATGAATACTGGCTCGGAAGTCAAAATTCGAGCGCGCGGGAATTGAACCACTGGTCAAAAAAAGAAAGATTCACCGCCGACCTGTCGCTTTAAAATATCGAACTAGCGCCCTGATTACCATACCTCCTTCACCGATCGCGCCTTGATCGCCGACCATTGCTCAAAGAGCTGCGCCAGCTTGTCCAAACCACCATGGTGAAAGTGAAGAATTTTGTAGTGCGAGTCGTGGGTGGCTAAAAACAAGTAATCTCCACTTTACCTACCTACTAACCTATAACCAGCTGCCCAGATGTATTTTCCGGGTTTGAGAAAAACAGCCTCATCGTCCGCATTTTTCCTGAAAAATTTAAATTTCCAAAAAACGTTTTAAGACCCACCCAAATTCACTGAAAATAGACTCGCTGAACTTGCGCGGCTGTTAAACATGGCTCGACCTCTGGCGATGGCCACCGCACCATCGTCTTGTTGATCCTGAATTCGGTTTTCAAGGGACTGGGAAGGCAACGATTTTGTAGATTTTCAATAAGATGGTTAAGGTCCATACCTTCTGATCCTTCAAGATCATATCGTGCTCCAGGGCGAACTGCTCGGGAGTGGCGGACAGAATGGTGGCGCACTCATTTCTCAGCTTTTCCGGGATCGAGGCAAGCTCTGAAATTAGGATAACTTTATATAATCTCGCTTTCCTTCCTCGCTCTCTCGCACTCTCTCACTCACACTCTCGCTTGCCCTCCTTCTCTCTTTCTCTCTCTCTCTCGCACTCTCTCTCTTTCGCGCTATGTCTCTCTTACCCGCTGACCCGCTCTGACATTATTGCCAAAAATGGCGCGTCACGGCCCCTTTAAAGAAGCGTATCACCGCTAAAATCGGCCCCTTTCCGGTTAGGTCTCGACAGTTACGCGCCACTGCTTAAAACTACTATATATTATTCTGATGGGTCAGATTTTGCCAGTATGGGAATTTGATACACATCTTCACGTGGCCTGGCTTCCGTTTTTATGAGTGTCACGTCCAGATCTGCCAAGGGTCGCTTTTCGGACTTCCTACTAGCACCTTTAAACTCAACAACACTAACCCTTCGGATCTGCAACTGATTCATCGCACGAGCTACTGCCCTCATCTTTATCTGAAAGCTCATCAGCTCCAGAGGTTGATTGCGAAGAGACCGAGGTGGCATCGGATTGCACTGACTAAAAACGATTATTAAACGCAGTATTAATCCGACAATTTCTACAATTACTAAACACTTTGAAACACATTTGGAACATACAAATCAAATAACGCGGACGGCTATGGGAAAACTTAAAAAGTAGCTTCTAGTGGAAAACTCAAAAAAGCAAGATCTACTGGGAGTCTTACCAGGATATCAAGGTTTTCGGGCTAAAACGGAGTGTTTGCAACGGAGGACAGACGAATCAAAGGTATCGATAGCAAATAACTATCATAGATAATAGCTAATAACAAATAATAGATAATAAATCAAAAGGTGTTATATTATAGTCTTTGAGCTGTGAAATGAAATTTAACGGAGAAAAAGAACCGATAACTGTTGGGAAAGATAAGCAGCTTTTGGCGACTCAAACAACTTACAGTAACATCCGGTGTCCTCACGACCAGACAATTCTCATCATCAAATGTAGACGGATCCACGGGGGTATTTGGGATCAAATTGATAGACGGTACTCCAAGGCCGCCGCCTCCTCCAGAATCCGGGATCCCGATGGCTGGGGTTGCAGTTTTGGGCCCGTGAGGTCTTTTCTAAACGGAGAGGCGTATCGTAGCGTAGTGTAGCGTATCCTCACGTAAGGTCACCTAACGTAGTCTCAACTGTAAGGTACTACGTTACTTTGATAAAAATCAACAAATTTTTGTTTTTTCGAGTTTCTATCGTTGCGTTTCGAAGCCTAGCGCAGACTTAGCAGTAAAATACTAACTTATCTTTTTGTACCTCGTTGCTAAAGTTTCTGATTTTTAGCTTAGCATAAACAAAAAAAGTTAGCAGAACATAAAAACAAGAATCCAACAATTGCGATTTTTGACAAGATTCTGACTTTACTACGCTTTCTTTAGCATTTTTAGCTTGGGT